AACCTGCTTTTTTAAGAAGATCCCCAGGTTATATATATGCACATTAAAAATTTAGAAGCACTGATATATTTATAAGGTGGAATTAGATGTTGACCCCAAACTACTGCTTCCTAGAGTGTTGGAAATGGTAAATAGAAATCTTCACAAATCTTCGCTAAATAGATGAGACCGATAAAACATTTCCAACTGATGACTCGAACATATTTTGTATAAGTATGGCCTGTCCATCGTTACTGTCTTCTGTTTACCTTTTTCTTCCTTTTCCCTTCTCTAAGTGCATGGGGAGCGATCATTTTTGATAGAAACTAGGCATGAGTGTAAGGTCTAACTGGAAAGATAAAAGGGTGAGGTCCTCTGGTTTTGGAACTTGCTGAGCACTTTCCTCGTGTTAACTGATAGAGTTTTAGGCTAAGGGAATGGCAAGTTAAGCGACTACTTGTGTGCCCAGAGGATTGAATGCTTGTGTTTGGGTAACGGAAACGTGACTCTTGGGTTTGGGTGATAGCTCTTGTTTATAAAACCTTGTTCCTCCCTAGTCCTTACAGATTTCTGACTCCTGTACATTATTTTAGTAACATGTATATTCAGTTTTCTCATCCCTGGACTCTCACCTTAAGTTAAAAGCCATTAGCAAGAGTTCATCAAGACGTGTTTCCTGTGCTTAGGTTTCGCATAACTTTAGCAATTATTTATAACTGGGTGATACAGTAGAAAGAGCAATTACATTGGGTACAAATCCTGATTCCACCATTTTTAAGCTATATGACCACAGGTCAAGTAATTCACTCTATGTGAGTCTCAGTTTCCTCAACTGTAAAAGGAATATGATAATACATTGCTGTGCTGTGACAAATGTTAAATGAGATTAGGAATGCAAATGCCAGTCAAGAATAATTGTTATTGTTATGTGACTCATTTGGTTGGTGGGTTCAATTCTTGGTTTGGCACATACCCAGGTTTCAGGTTTGATCCCCTGTCAGGGCGCATGACGATGTTTCTCTCCTCTCCCTCCTCCTCACCCTCTTCCCCCTCCCCCCTTCTTCCCCCCCCTCCTCCCCCTCTCCTCCTCCCTCTCCTCCTCCTCCCCTCCTCCTCCTCCCCTCCTCCTCCTCCCCTCCTCCTCCTTCTTTTCCTCTTCTTTCTCCTCCTCACCCCTCTCTAAAATCAATCAGTAAAAAAAAATAGTTATTGTTAAAATTTCCTCTAGTATATGTGTGTATGTACATCACAAGCATGATTGTTAAGTTGTGTATGCACATTTTAAAATTTAATATAAATTGACTTGTAGTTTTTGTTAGATGACTCATAATTTTATTAGATGGCTACTAATTTAAATTTCAAAGACTGGTTTTGGTGGGAAGGACAATCCATGTGTTGGTCTCTCTCTCTCTCTCTCTCTCTCTCTCTCTCTCTCTCTCTCTCTCACACACACACACACACACACACACACACACACACACACACTTCTTCAGTAAGACTCCTAAGTATGTTTAGGTCATCAGATGAAGTATATCAGAGATATTGTCTTTTTTTCCTTTTTGCATGACCTAATTGAAAATATTTTTTAGAAATTCTTGGATCCTCTTCAGAAAGATGATGGTGACATGTAGATGTAATAGAATACATGAAATGGGGAATGAGTCGCACAAAGGGAATATAGTGTGATGGAGAAACCAACATTATTATGATACACAAGTAACCAATAAAACATCTAGGGGATATATAAAAACACCAAAAATCTTAAAAGTATTTATTGATTAAAGGCCATGTAAGAGGATAGCATTTAAAGTACACCATTGTGAAGAAATATACCTAGAATAAATGGTCAATGGTCAAGGGTCTTAAAGACTTAAAAACTTAAACATTATAATTGAGACCTACCTGATAATCAGGATCGTCTTACTCTGTAAAGGCCTTAACAGTTTCTTGGCAAAGGAGAGCATTTCTTATCTACACTGAAAAGAGGTCACCTTTCAGTGAAACTCTTGATATGTGTAATACTTACTGTATGTATAAATATTTATAGAGAACTTGTCGTTAATGTCCCTGGAATGAGGAACTTAAAGACAGAATCAAAAGGAATCGAAACTGCAAGATAAGAAGGAGAATATTTACCTGGGCATCCCAGCATGCTCTAGTGAAGAGCAGGGAATGTCCTATTCTCCTGGTTGTAGTTACACTGCTTGGTTCCCATTTGTGAAGAGGCAGAGAGGGTGGCTATGACCATTCATGAGCAATGGCTTTACTCTGCCAGAGGGAATGTTTTGGCTTTTTTTTTTTTTCTTGGAAACTTTGGTGTTTTATCTGTGGTCATTGGACTACAACCTCTGTAGAGATCCATTTCAGTGTTAAAATGACTAAAATTCTGGTCAAAAGTTTGGTGGGATGCTAGTGAACTAGCCTTATATCAGCTATTGTCATTGAGCAAATAATAGACTCTAATATTTTAAATACTTTGTTTTGCTCATTCATTGCCACATGAAAAAATCCCCCAAACTTACTGGTTTAGAACAAAAACATATTTTATTTGTTCATAATTCTATTGGTCAGAATTCAGAATACCAGGGCTGGCTTATCTCTGCTCTGTGATGTGTGGGACTCCAGCCGGATTGGCTTGACTGTGTGGGAACCAGCTGGAATGGCTTGATCAGAGTCAGTCTGGAGCTTCAGTATGGCTGTTGGCTGGGCTCCTCAGTTTTCCTCCATGTGGCTTCTCCAGGAGGCTGGCTTGGGCTTTCATTTAGCATGGGAGTCTCAGGGTAAATGAACTTACATGGTAGCTAGCTTCTTAGCAGGAGCACTCCAAGGAAATAAGCCTCAATGTGAAAGCATTTATTAAACCTCTGCTTGTAAATCAAGCCACATGGCCAAGCCCAGAGTAAATGTGGGAGAGAATCCTGAAAAGCATGAGTCCTGGTGGTATTGATTCATTGGGCCCACCAATAACTGCTGCTATATTAATATTTATGTCAACAAGTTCTCGTAGTAAAATGATATAGAAAAAGAACTAATGATGTTTGATATGAATCCATTCTCCCCATACCCCCCAAAACACAAAAAGTCATCACAAAGGTAACTTATTGAAGATGTTGGGGTATTGTGGTTATTTTTGAAAATCTTTGAACTAATTATACAGTAAAGATGAAATTATAATTTTACCCCAGAGGATTAGAGTATTTCAATTATATCAGTAACATATTTTGTTACTGATTTACATGATGTGATTATTCTGGGTTCCTTTTGCCTAATTCCAAATCCTTTGGGCATTAAGAATAAGAAACAGCCAAAACCAGTTTGGCTCAGTGGACAGAGCGTTGGTCTGGAGACTGAAAGGTCCCAGGTTCGATTCCGGTCAAGGGCATGTACCTTGGTTGCAGGCACATCCCCGGTGGAGGGTGTGCAAGAGGCAGCTGGCAGATGTCTCTCTCTTATCGATGTTTCTAACTCTCTATCCCTCTCTCTTCCTCTCTGTAAAAAAATCAATTATACATATATATATATATATATATATATATATATATATATGAATAAGAAACAGCAATTATTGCCTTAAAGGGAAGACTAACCTAGTTTTTGCCGAAATCCAATTCAGAAAACATCAACAGTAATCCTTTCTAAGAGTATTAAAACATAGAGATAAAAAATATAGGACACATTGTCAGTGTTTTACATCGCAGTGGAATTAAATTATACCCCTTTTAGTTTAACAACTATTAACAGAGCTAAGAGAGCTAGATCTAGACCCAACTGCAACGATCCAGTGAGCGTGTGGGTAAATGCCTTTATTGCTCTGAGCCTCAGTTTATTTGTAAAATGGGAGATTTTGATTAGCCTGTGCCTATGGGCCCTTAAACTATTGGTAATTCCATGTACAAATTCTGATGATGTCTTAGTGGACATGTGGATTTCTAGCTACCTTTTCTCCAGCATCCCTCCTCTGAACCAGCCTTGGAACAATGGCTCTCACAGCTACCATTTGAGAAAGTGGCACTTTCTTCAGGGGACAGAGGTGCATAGTCTCTGTGCTTTATCCCCTGCTACTCCTCAGTACAATAGTCCGGATCCTGATATTTAGAATTTGAATGTTGGACAAGTCACTTCCCCTTTTGGGTCTTAGTTTCTATCTGTAATAAGAATTTTTCCCCTGAATTTCCTTTTCTAATGTTAACTCTCTGGTAGGCCTTAAGCTTTTAACTAACTAATTAATACTTTTTAGCTGAGACCGGTTTGGCTCAATGGATAGAGCCTCGGCTTGGGGACTGAAGGGTCCCGGGTTCAATTCCGGTCAAGGGCATGTACCTTGGTTGCGGGCATATCCCAGTAGGGGGTGTGCAAGAGGCAGCTGATCAATGACTCTCTCTTATCGATGTTTCTAGCTCTCTATCTCTCTCCCTTCTTCTCTGTACAAAATCAATAAAATATATTTTTAAAAAAAATAATTTTTGGTCCTCTCTCATTCAAGTGAGGCTTTCTGGGCCTCCTCTTCTCTGTTTCCGTCCTTGTTGGCAGAAGTCTGGAGAGGCTCACGAGCCACATCTTGTCCCTAAATCGCATGGCTGCAGGGTAACAGTTCTACCCAGTGTGTGGCGGCTGCGGACATGTTCAGAGCATTCAGGTCCCAGTGGGTCTTTTATGGAGAATGCTCCGAGTATCCCTGGTTAAGAGGAAACCTTGAAGTCTTGTGTTGCCTTATGATATAGAAGAGATATGATGCAGCTGCTATGGAGTTTGTTAGCTATAAAACAGATACACAAGGATGGACTCTGAAGATTGCAGTGGGAAAGTAGAGCTTTAAGCTCATGAACTCGTACTCTGATTCAAAAGTACAGCAGTATATTAAGATCATTATGGAATGTCTGATGAAATGGTTACAGAGAAAAATGTTGAGTTTGATAACTCCAAGGATATCTCTTAGGACTCACCCATTTGTGTCTGGGCAAGGAATGACTTTCGATTGCAGAAAAAATAGTTTTTACAACAGGCAGAAATTTTTATTAGCCTCATGCATACTTTTGGATCTCATTCACTTGAGAATAAACTATTCTTCCATTGATGCTCTCCTGTGTGATGGCCTTGATCTTGGATGCTACAGGTGTAGAGGAAAAGAGCAATGAAGAGGTCAGTGCCATGCTCCCGCCACCATCTGAACTGTGTTGTTTTCAGCACCCTATGGCTCTATATGCCTTCCAAAATGATCACTATGCAATATGGCGGTCTCTGATGGAGTGACAAGGTTATTCTTCCCACTCTTAAGGAATGAGGGTGTCTGGGCAGTGCCAACTTCTAGGGGTCAAGACCTTCAATCTAGGCATGCCGCATACAGAATCTCATCACTGACCACAGCACTGAGGAGTCCGATTGCTTATGTGGGTTTTGTAGCATGTGCACCATGGCTCTGTGAGTGATAGAGTACTAAAAGCCATTCTGGGTGCCTCATTTTAAGATCTAGCAAGCTTCCTATGTGAGGGATGGCAACAAGCCAGGGATTTTTATTTTGGTTACCATATTAAAAAATACAATTGAGTTGAATAAGTGTTTGTTGACACATCAATAAATTGATTCTAAACCCGGAGGAAGAATTGAAACATTAACAGAGATACAGGGAGAACTTAGTTAAAATCAAACCTCTCCAGCAGTAAACTGAACCATGCCATGCAGTATTGGGTTCTGCATCGCTGGGTTTGGGTAAAGAGAGAAGCTGAAGGACCATCTATGGAGATCTTGCTGAGGGGTAGCAGTTTGACCACCTGTTCTGTGATGGTTACTTGAACTCTGAATCTCTAATGCCTTAGGATATTTTTACTTCAAACTACTCAGAAAGTGTCACTTGTTCCAGATTGGTTTCTTGGAATTTTCTATGAGATGTTAAAGGCTATCTGAGAATTAGAGTTCCCAGGTCAAAGTGCTAGGGAACACTGGGTTAACAGAATAGAACTTTGGTCATTCTTTCCCATTCTTGTTCCTTTCCTTCTCTGAAAAGTGCCTTTCCAACATTGTTTCATCTTTAGTAATGTTTCATCTTTAATAAACACAACATGGCTCTTCACAAAGAGGATACGTCTTAGCTGGTCATAGAACACATCTTTCATAATACACAAAATTTCATGGGACACTAATGTTCAACAGAAGACAGTTTGGGAAATTATGTGAAACAATTTCCTTGTATTCTCTTCAGAGTGTACTAAACAGCCTCCATTAGGTAATAGAGACACAATAACATTAATGATTATTTTTATCTACTTTACCCCTTGCAAAGAGCCTTCATATATATTATTGAGGACAATATTGAGAGCTCACTTCATATAATCTAATTTGTTAACTTAATTCAAAATTTGGGAGTAAAAGAAAAATTGAATACAGAACATTTGGGAGTGCACCAAAGATGATGAATGAATGAATAAGCATGATGACTTATTTTTAAAAAGTAGATTCAAACAATAGAAGAAATTTATTTACCTCTTGCGCTCAGCTTAGATTCCTCTGTTGTTCTATAAAAGTAATAAAGATTAAAGTTCATTTTAGTATTAGCAATAATCAAAAAAATGTCTTACATTGAACTGCCTTCCTTTGCCTGCTTGTAAATTTGTTTAATGAGGATAATTCTCTGAGCTAGTCTCAAGGTCATGGGGTCATGGAAGAACCCTCCTGCACCCAGGAGAGAGGGAGTGCTGCCTTCCACTAACCCTGGGGGCAGAGAAGTCTCATGACCCACTTCCATCCTTCTAGCCTCCTGCGGGCTTCACCTTCATCAGGGTCCTTGCCAGGGTCTGGGTCGGAAGCCCAGAACCATGGGATTCTGGAGAGCTTTATGCATTTTTAAAAAACTCCAACTCCTTCTCTTGGATTATAAAATATCTGTGCCCTTTTAGTGGACAGCTACTTCCCAAGGTAGTCAGAAATAATAAGTTAAAAATCTAGGTACCTTAATCTCTTATGAATCTCTTCCTGCTGTTTGGCTAAAATATTCCCCCAATCTCCCTTTTTTTGGAGCCCGAATTGTATGTATTCTCACTGGGAAACGATAGAGCTACCCTTCTTGATGGTTTCCTTGATTAATTCACACATTCTGCTTACCGAAATACAATCTGACCTAAGTGTCTTCAGGAGAAATTCAACATAAACCTCTTTGCTCTAGAGTGATGACAACTGCTAACAGAACCGTAGGGTACACGAATGTACATATGCTAGCTGGGTCCCTTGGCGCCCTCCCTTGCCAATCTTGGCCTCACCCTTGGCTCTCGCCCTCCAGTAGCTGGCGGTAGGTGGCGATTTCCTTCTCGAGGTGGGTTTTGATGCCCAGGAGGACCTTGTACTCGCTGTTCTGCCGCTCCAGGTCCTGGCGCAGCTGCAGCAGCTCCTCCTCGTAGCGGGAGATGATGCATTGCATGTCCTGGAGCTGGCAGGAGTACCGAGACCGGGTCTCCGATAACATGTTCTCCAAAGCGGATTTCTGAAAGAGGAAAGGATGTTTCTGACATTAATGGGCTGACGGCTTGATTGATTCAGTAACGTGTGCTTGCTGAGTAGTTAGAATCCGCGGACCACTCCGCGAGGTGTCTTGGTGGCTGCTGGGAATGCAAAAAGGAGAAGCAGGCTGACTCATAGGTTTGGGACAGCCAGGAGCTGAGCAGTGTCTGGATTTTTGAAGCCCATTTCCTTGGCATACAACCTTTGTGTCGGGGTTCTCTTGGCAGCTCTGCCGCACCTCTGTGGCATTTATTGTTTATGCTGCTCATTTGGGATAGGGCATGAGGTGCCTGCTCTGATCTGTTCCTTTCCTCCTTCCGCTCACATGACCCAACTCAGGATAGTCCCAGCTCAGACTCACCCTGTTGTGCTGCGCCTGCAGGTCAATCTCCAGGGCCTGGAAAGTGCGCTTCAGCTCATGGATGTTGCCTTGGTTGCTCTGCACGGCTGTGGGGCTGGCGGTCTCCTGGGCAATGGCTGCTGACTGTGAGAGCGAGCAAAGAGCAGAGGCATTGGCATTGGACCACGTGGAAATGGAACCTTGGGGAAGTCTGGACGCTTTTCTTTTACCTGCTCTTTATACCAAGCATCCAAGTCTCGATGCTTCTTCTTTATCATAAACTCGTATTCTTGCCTCATGTCCTCCAGGATCTTAATCAGATCTTCCCCTGGGGTTGTATGCAGCTTCACATTGACCTTGAAGTCATTTGGCGTATGCTGTCCCTCCATTTCCTGTTTAATAACAGAGAAAGAAAATGAATCGGCTGTGACGATCAGAAGGAGGTGTGTTGATTGGCAGCGGTTAATGGATCTTTTAAAAATTTTAGCTCATGTGGTTGCTACTCTTTCACTGGGTTGGTTTGGCTTCTCGGTTATTAGTTATCGATGATAAAACATTATGTGAATTTTTCCTCTTACACTTTTATAATATAAAGAATAGCGCCAGATAGGTAATTGTATGGCCTCTATGGTTACTGACTTAATCCGTGACTGAAAATGTTTCAGCAAGAATTACGCTTCTATAGTGTGTAAAGTACTCGTCAGCAAATGTTTATGGGTAAAGTGACGACACAACTAAGCAGTTGAATGTTTCAGGATATAGACCAAAGTTTTTGGGAAGCAGTTCAGTAATCCAAAGCCAAAGGTATAGAGGCTTTTAAAATGTCATCAGTGCATTAGGATTCTGTAGCATGAAAACCAAGGAACCTCAGGAAAGGTTTAACACTCATTGTCTAACTAGCTTTGATGTTCATAATCAATTTTGTTTGCCTAAAATAGGGATTGTGTTTCTACCATTTTATCAAAGTCTCAGGGACTTTAGATGGATGGTAACTTTTCAAAAATGGGTTAAATGTTTCTGGAAAATAGGATTCTTAATTTTTGCTACTAGTCATAGATAGTAGCAGATTCTCTTTATTCTGTTGGCCCTCAATTTGCTGCACATTGGGTCAATGAAGGAGGTTAAGTGTCACACATTTATTCCTACAATATTTTTAAAATATTTTTATTGATTTTAGAGAATCAATAAAAGGGAGAGGGAGAGAGATAGAAATATTAATGGTAGAGAAACATCTATCAGCTGCTGCCTCCTGCATCACCTGTACTGGGGATTGAACTGGTAACTAGGGCATGTGCCCTGACCAGGAATCAAACCAGTGACCTCTTGGTGGATGGGTTGATGCTCAACCACTGAGCACACTGGCTGGGAAGTATTATATTATCAAAGTAAACATTGCATATTAAAATTGTTGACCCATCTATTATTAATTGTGATAGTATTTTGGCTGTTGTATTTGACATCTGAGTAGATAACCTTGGAATTGGAAAAAATTAGATGTTTATATGGTGCCTTATGATTATTTAAGTTCAAGGACAATAGAACTGGCATAGAGGTAGTAGTTTCTTCTGTAGCTATTGGATCACCTAAAATGTGCCAATTAAGAGCTGTGCTGGGGATTGTTGGGGAGTCCTACCTCCCCATGGTGCTTCTTCATGAGGATGAGCTCTTTCCTCAACCCCTCGACCTCCTGTTCCAGGTCTGTTGTGACAATGGTTAGGTCATCCAAGGTCTTCCGGAGACGCTCCACTTCAATCTCCAAGTCTTTCTTGAAGGAGTGTTCATTTTCGTACCTTTGGTTAGAAGGAAGAAAAGAGCACACCCGTTGTTGAAAGGCTGTGGTCCATGAGGATTCACCTTCATTTAGAGGTGATGCTCATACTTCGTAGGCTTAATGCAAAAACAGTTAATACATACTATTTATTCTTTATATGTGTGTTTCATGTATATTTTTCTATAATAATGACTCGATGTTATTTTAAAAAATAGAATAAAATAATAAACAGCCATGTGATCATCACCTAGCTTTAGCAGTCATTAACAGTTTGCCTTATTTGCTTCATCTGCATTCCATTTTGTATTTCAATGTAAATTTTAGACATCACATTTTGCCTCTACATGCTTCTGAATGCATCTTTTAAGAAAAGTACATCTTTCTAAATACGGATAATAACATTATCTCATCTAAAACATTAAAAACTCCCCTCCTTTAAACACCTCTACCTTCCAGGTTTATTGCAAAGATTTATTTATTTATTTTTTTAAATCCTTACCCAAATACATTTTTCCATTGAATTTTAGAGAGAATGGAAGAGAGAGGGAAAGACAGAGAGAAATAGTCATGTGAGAGAAATGCATCAATTGGTTGCCTCCTGTACATGCCCCAACCAAGGCCTGAACTGGGGAGGACCCTGCAACCCCTGTACGTGCCCTTGACTGGAATCGAACCTGGAACCCTTCGGTCTGCAGGCCAATGCTCTATCCACTGAGCCAAATCAGCTAGGGCAAAAACCAACTCTTCAATGTCATCTAATTCTTGGTTCTTATTCAAATTTCCTCACAACAAAAAGTGTGTTGTATTATCTGATTTGTTTAAATTAGGGTCCAGCCAAGTATTTATTCTTGTTTGCCTTTTAATTATATTTCAGTAAGATTTTTACATGTAGCTAATGGTGAGATAAGTTTCCTGAACAGAACAACCCACAAAACAAAACAAACACCAAACAATACTCCCCCTGCCTCCCATGACACTGAGGAAGGAACTTACTTGAGGTTGAAGTCATCCACTGCCATCCTGGCGTTGTCAAGGAGAAGAAACACCTGCGCATTGGTCATCTTACCGTCCAGTATCTGTAAGAGACACACCAACAGTCATTCCGTGGGACACAGGACACAGGAAAGCTGCATTTCTGTTCTCTAGGCTCCTGGTCAAGTGATTTGTTAGAACAGATGACTTGTTTCCTGGCAGTGGAGCAATCACACCGATAAATATTTATTGAGCACTTTTGAGGTGCAAAGTATAAAATGATTTTATAGTAAGGATATGGTCTGCATTGTCTTTTTTTTTTTTTTTTTTCATGGAGTTTTGACAGGTTAGGACTGATGCAAATGCCAAAAGGAAGAGGAAAGAGTGTAATTATCCAAAATGCCTTCTAACTTTCTAGTTCTGTAAACATATCTTAGTTTGGCTCCCCTAGAGTAAAATAATTATTTTAAATGAACACAATTCTTCCTCATGATACCATTCATATTTCTGATCTGCAACTCCTGAGCAAAGTATCACTTGGTACAAAATGTCAACTGATAATAATTTTTGAAACTGATTTTAAACGTGTTTTATTATGGTCAATATATGCCATAAGTCATTTTTGTCCAAAATATCTATAGTCATGTACATAACGTGTAGGTATGTGCTTTTTAATTATTCCGTGATGAGAATGCCCCAATTGTAGCTATTACTGGTAAAATATTCAATGAAATGATTCTTTGCCAGCTTAGTAAACTTTAATTGTGGTAAAGCCTCCTGTCAAACACTTTCACTAGATGTTTATATACTTTTTCACTTTAAGAGGAGAAATGTTATTGAAAGTTCATCTACTTGAGCAATTGTGTATACATAGAGGATTTGTAAACACATTTAGGACATTTTAATCAAAGAAGTAGTCCATATTTGCTGTATGTCTCTGTCTTCAGGGAAATTGGGTGGAAGATGTCTCAGTGTCAAAAGTATAATACTATTATTGTACAAAATATTGTGCTGAACTAGGAATTGGGAGATTTTCCTTTTCCTTCCTGTTGCTGACCATCGGCATGAACTTGGGCCAGTCACTCCATTCCTTGGGCTTCAGTTCCATCACTTGTTAGACAAGGAGTTTGTACTAGAAACAAGTGAGCTTAGAGGTCATAGCTTTAAACTTCTGTAATTTATTTGGGACCAGATTATCTTATGACATTCCAATTATATTTATACAAATAATTCCTTTCTTTAGAAAGGGCTTTCTTAGGACAAAGTTATACTTGAAAACAAAGACACCTTTAAAATATCTGGTCCTATCCAAAGCTTCACTGGCTAGATGGAATTTGGTATTATGAATGCACAATAGCAGAATTCAGAGGTGGTGACTACAGTGGGCCTGAACTCCACCAGCCGAGTGAGCTTGCCACGTGTCTGTTTCTTCACTCATAAAATGACAATGAAGTTATGAGAATTAGATTAGAAGAGAGAAAATAATGTTGTAAAATCCTTATTTTCTGGGCATACTGTAGACACTGAAAAATTAGTTCAAAATTTTCTTCTTTAAAATCTAATTGGTAAGGCTGAAACCGGTTTGGCTCAGTGGATAGAGCATCGGCCTGTGGACTGAGGAGTCCCAGGTTCAATTCCGGTCAAGGGCTTGTACATTGGTTGCGGGTACATCCCCAGTAGGGGGCGTGCAAGAGGCAGCTGATCGATGACTCTCATCGATGTTTCTAGCTCTCTATCTCCCTTCCTCTCTGTGAAAAATCAATAAAATATATTTAAAAAAATCTAATTGGTAAGGTATGTACACATATAATACCTTAATAAAAAAAATGAGGAGAAAAAAAATCTATCATTTAAAAAATATATATAATTTATTGATTTTTTTTTTCCAGAGAGGAAGGGAGAGGGATAGAGAGTCAGAAACATTGATGGGAGAGAAACATCGATCAGCTGCCTCTTGCACACCTCCTATTGGGGATATGCCCGCAACCAAGGTACATGCCCTTGACCGGAATCAAACCTGGGACCCTTCAGTCCTCAGGTCAACGCTCTATCCACTGAGCCAAACCGGTTAGGGCAAATCTAATACTTTTGTAACTAGAGCCAATGTTTGCATTGGATAAATCTCAGGATTTATATGTTGAGATGTACCCTAAACTCTGTTTGTGGTAGGAGATGCCAGGTTGGCTTCCCCTGTCCACCTTCATTCTTCCCTTGGTGGATGGATTCCAAATGGTACTATGACTGCTTCCTTTGCTCACAAAGAGATTCTGTAGATATTTCCTTGTCTTCCCTCTGCAGTGTTTCTTAGGGACTTTCTTACCAAATTCTTCCCCTCCCCCCAAACTTTTTATTCTTTGAATTATTTAAGCTCATGGGAAATAAAAAGTAGCTCCATCCAAAGAGACCTGGGGACCCAGCCTTAGTTGTACACGGAGATATTGATTGACATGCAGAGAAACCATTCCCTGTAGACTCAACAGAATAAAAAATACCATCTTTAGTGAATTAAACTGATCATTTATCAATTGCAAAGCCCCCACATCAAAACTCTGGTTCTCCCAGCCAGCATTCTCATAGTGCATGAGTGGTGAGCTCTGAAATGCACTTGATATAGAGCACATTTAAAAATGGAAACTATTTCCTTCTGTTTGGGTTGCCTGATACAATATTATGACACAGCCACGATTTCTGAGACATCCTTTGCAATAATGAATGGATGAGGATAGATTGAGAAATAATATGAGGCATAGACTTGGCATTGTGTATTATAATTAATCACCTGGATTCTCCCCAAAGCCCTGAGTTAATTCTTTTAAAATAATCTAGTTGGTGTATTAGCAGTGCAGCATCATTGCTCCAGGGTGTAATCCAAAGCACCAAGTAGAGTTCTGTTATGAGTTATTCTGGTATTTCTGTCCAACTCTGTGTTTCAAAAGGAGTGGATTAATTTTTGAACATAATTTCTTATAGACTTTTGGAATAACCTTTAATATCCCTAAAGAGGGGTCGGGGAGTAATATAGCTACTCAGAACATTTCATCAGGGCCCAGGAAGAGGCCAGCCCTGGTACTTGTGGGACCTGTCTGGTCTCTGTTTTCTCAGCTGCAAACAGGAGAGAGTGGGCTAGGCAGACAACCTCAGCATTACAGAGTTGTTTTCTTCCAACATGGAGAAAATGTAACAACTGAAGTAACAAATCCAGAAGAGAGTGTAATTCAAAGCTGAAGAAGACTCCTATTTAATGTCAGAACTTAGATTCCAGGGACACCTGAACAATGGGCAAGCTGCCCCCTCCTTGTCATTGGTCCCACTCACTTTTCTCAATTCTGCTGTAATGGAATTTAGGCAGCCACTTGGTCTCAGCCTGCTCATCTGTGTATTGGGGAAAAAATTACCTGCTTCACAGGATGAAATGATGTGTATTGAATAGGTGTTATATAATTAACAATGCAAATGCACTGCAATATCTTTATTAATGAGCAGTATCATTGTTGTATGAGATAGGCTAGTTAGTATCGTACTGTGTGGAAATTGAGGCCACTGGAAGCAGAGTTGGGTTAGAATCCCATTTCTGGCTCTTTCCAGTGCCTTTGGGTTGCTATCTCACTCTCCTGAGCTTCATTTCTTTCCAGGATTGTTGTGAGAATTAAATCAGACGCTATAGAATGTTTCCATTATTGCAGAGAACTTTTGGATGGCGCTGATAAGTGTATTAAATACCTAACATGATGCCTGGCATATAGTAAGTGCTCAACAAATATTTCCCTCCTTTCTTTCACTTTTCCTCCTCTTCACTGTCTGCTAATACATTATTTGACCAGGTGTAACCTCAGATTTCTTTTGGGAGTTATATTCTCAGCTGTCCATTTACAAACATCTTCTATTCTTTCCATTCTAAAACCAAAGCAACTTTATTAATGAAAAAATATGGTGATGTTTGTTGAGTCACCTTGTTTTTCTTTTTTTTTTTTTTTTTGTAAAGACAACCATGTACTATATAGTTAAGGTAATTACACAGTCAGTTATTAGGTTGCTTATTCAATAATTAGGGTTTATTATGAGGACAGATTTATATTATCTTGATTGGTCCTTCCTACATTCACGCAAGGATGACTGAGTGTTGAGAAGTAACATCATATGCATATTGGAAGCCCGTGATGCCCTTTACAGGGTAGGTTAAGTCATGATCCTGCAAGACATTTTTTGGGACTTGCTTTACATAGAGGGAAGTTATGTAGCTAAGAAATAACTTGTGAGATGACTGGATTCCTTCTATTCTAGCCAATGTTATGAGATGCCCCAGAAGGTGTAAGCTTAGCTTTAAAAATATTTCATTGAAAAGTTATTTTTTGAAGAAGTCTCCATAACCCATCCTAACTCTAAGATTCCAAAAATCATGCTCTTTTTATTATTATTTTTTTTCTAGCAATATGACTGCTAGCACGTAGAAACCCAGAACTTCTAGTAGCCCCCAAGAAGAAGTATCCAGGGATGTCACAATTATGTATTTGCCTGTGGAGTGACAGCTTTTAGATGTGATCTCCAAAATAGTAGAACTCAGCCTCTCTTTGCCAGACACTCCCACTATTGCCATTTGAGGTGGAGCAAAAACTGATGCAATGAGAAAGCAAGCAAAGGCTGCCTGGTGCCTTGTGCGCTGAACACGAGGAATGAAGTCCAGCCTTTGTCATTATTACATCGCTGGGCCACAGTGACACTGGACAGCAGCTCATTGCCTTAGACTCTTTAGATTCCCCCCGCAAATTTATGTACAGGTTTAAATAAATACAATAGACTTTCCAAAGTCCAAATGTAAGGTAAAGTAAAAAAATATCCTCAAATACCTTTGTCCACAATTACTTTAAGCTCTTTTGCCATTTTCCCGGCAGTTGTCTTTTATGCTGATTTCTCCTCCCTTGGGGTATGTCAGAGGACAGATGGTGGGTTTCCTGGAAATGCACCACCCACCCTGACTTCATGGGCCACCCGGGATCTTACCTGCTCCTGCAGGCGGCTGATGTTCTCCTCATACTGGGAGTAATCTTGCTTCCTGCCAGGGTCTCTCTCCTGGTGCCACTTCAGGATGCGGCTCTCGAGCTTCACGTTGGCCTCCTCCAGAGCACGCACCTTGTCCAGGTAGGAGGCCAGGCGCTCATTGAGGTTCTGCATGGTCTCCTTCCCATTGCCACCAAGGAGGGAGCTGCCTCTTCCGGACCCCCAAGACCTTCCAGGGGGCAGGCAGCCTGGGGAGGTGAAGGAAAGGGAGATGCGGACGCCCCCCGCACCCCCATGGACGCTGGGAGCCCGGGGGAAGCCCCCCGGCCTGCCCCAGCCACCTCTGGTGCCAGGGAGGGAGCCAGAGGGGATCTGGCCGAAGCTGTGGCTGGAGCTCATGGTCCCATTTGTGTGTGGGGCGGGGCGGGGCTCTGCTCTGCTCCCTGGCACCGCAGAACTGAGCCGCCCCAGACTGCCCTGGATGGTTTTATGCCCTCTGCTGTGGGAGTTCCCTTCTCTGACAACTGTACCAACAAGATCGTATCATTGTGCAACATGTGTTTCCTCTTGGTCAATCCTGGAGCGCCCCGGGCCTCCACACACGCTGTTGTTGTTTAGAGCCACATCGATATACCAGTTTGTGTCTCCCTTCCAGTCGTAACCGGCAGGGGTGGCCGCTGCATTAGGCGGCTGCTTGTCTCAGGTGCCTTTCTAATCTTTCCGTGGAATTTTCCCATTGTTTGCTTATCTGAAAAGGGTCAGATGCAAGTCCACAAAAGGGTTATTTGATGTAACAAAGATTTTTCTTTTGAAAAGTAGACAGTAAGCACACAGACACCCCTCCGCCCCCAATAAATCCCAGCTCTGAAGCGAAGCGGGATGAGAGGGGGGTGGGTGTGGGCAGAGACTGTTCAGATCAGAACAGAATCTCCGAGTGAAGATACTCGTGCTGAGGAAATGGAGAATGCGCTGAGTATCTGACGCCTTTGTGGCAGGCAGTGTTTGATGGAAAGTAATTTCAAAGGAATCATTCTGAAGAACAAACCTTCAATTATAATTAATTAATGAATGACTGAGCCTTCCACTTTCAAGGTGCCTTTCATCCCGTGCACACCTCAAAACCAAACAACCCTGACCCGCGCTCAGGACTTCCCTTGGCTCCCGTGTCCCAGCCGCGCTGCGCCCCGGAAAGGCTGGTTCTGTGTCTGTGACCCGCAGAGGGGGTGAGGGGGGGGTGGGCAGGAAATATGCCCTGGGTTGGCTAACATGCTGGATGAATTTTTCGCTTCGTCTGCCAAGGTAAAGGTTAGGAGGGAATAAAGAAATAGTCTCGAGGCGGGGAGCCACGTGCTGGCTACTGGCAATTAGATTTAAAGAGGACTTAGAAATCAAATGGCAGCTGCGGAAGGGACTTCATTCCTTGGTTCAAGCCACTAATTTTACAGATGAGGGAGTCTTTGGGGGAGGGGATATGTCAGAGGACAGATGGTGGGGGAGCGGCAAAGCCAGAGTGGATTCTTCCTGCCACATGGCACTGTGATCATTGAGTGGAATCTTGACAGAATCCTGTACAATACTTCTCTTTCATAGGGTGATAATGGGACTTCCCAGTTTACATAGCCCTTTGATATTCTTGTGTGTGTGTGTGTGTGTGTGTGTGTTAATCCTCACCTGAGGATATTTTTTTCCCATTGATATTTAGAGAGAGTGGGAGGAAGGGGAGAGAGAGAAAGAGAGAGAGAGAGAGAGAGAGAGAGAGAGAGAGAGAGATACATCAATTGGTTGCCTCCTGCATGCTCCCTGATGGGGCCTGGGGATCAAACCTGCAACCCAGGAACATGCCCTTGACCTAGAATAGAACCTGCTACCCTTCTGTCAGCAGTCTGACATCCTAACCATTGAGCCAAACTGGATAGGGCTAAAATTTTTTTTTTATAAGAGTTTATTTGAGCCCAAGTGATGATACATGCCAGGAGGCAAGATCTCAGATGCTCCGCACTGACCACGCTGTGCTGCATTTGTTACACCCCTCTGGGTCTGCAGGCTGCACGAAAGCAGGGATTCTGTCTCCCATCTTTCAAGCACCAAAGTCTGGCTTCTTGTGGGCATTTCATAAATGTGTGTTAACTCAATATTGAACTTTTTAGAGTCATGATTTCCCTCCCCCCCTTTATTTTTTAAGTTATTGGGGTGACACTGGTTAACACAATTCTTCAGGTTTCAGGTGCACATTTCTGCAACACATCATCTGTACTCTGTAATTGCTGTACTGTAATTGCCAGTAGCCAGCACGTGTCACCACCCAAGTCAGGTCTCCATTCAGCTTATGCCCTCTCATTTATCCAGCCCATGCCCTCTCCACTTCTGTCTCCTCTTCCTCCATAGAATCATGATTTTAACTCAGGTTCTCCAACACCATCACCTCCTGTCCATTTTAGGAGCGTGAGCTGTAAAGCCAGAGAGTAGAAAAAGCCTCTCCCAAGGGTGAACTAGCTAACCACAAAGGCAAAATCATCCCTAATTGCAAATAATATCACTAATGCTTGTTCGTGCTGGCAACAAAGCCTTGCTCAAGTCCTTGGACTTTCCTCCTCTCACTATGTGCAAGATGGAAAAATTTGGTCAAGACTAAAGGAAGCCTTGGGGATGTTTGGAAAGGGTACCCTTTTAAAGTGTTCCACAGTCACTTACATCTGTGAGCAGGAGGGAAAAAAGGGAGACAAGATAAAAAGAGCAAATGAGAGAAACACTTATTGAGATGTATGGTTATGAGCTGATGGACATGGATTGGACCTGACTCAGGGTAGGATCAGATGGTGTTCACAGTGATCCAGCCACATACATGAGAGCACCATCTGTAGGATATGCAAGGTTTCACATTTGGTTCATCTTCCTGGTAAGCTGAGATGCTGTCATTAAAAGGGAAGTAATATTTTGCAGGAGAGATTGGTTGGGATTGAATGAATGGGTTGCTTGTGGGTGTATCAGGGCTCAGAAAGGAGGCCTGTTCACGGTTAGCTATCATTAACTGAGAGCACAGTGTGTTTGTGCCTTTTAAAGACAATTGTCCCATCCCCATGGCATTCCATGGGCAGCCTCTTGTTTATAGTGAGAGAACAATGACCAAACAATCCTCAAATAGATTTTACTGCGCATGACATTTCAGAACAGATGAGTAGTAAGTCTCCAGGCAAAATTGCTATGTTATTATCCTATGATTTGGCAGGTTACATATAAAGATTAGAAATTTATAGAAATAAAACACAGCTTCTGCAGTGACACAGGTCAGACATTTCCTAAGTGCCTAAGTTTATCATACTGTAGCCAAATAATAATACAATTTTCTCATATTTTGCTCTTTCCAGGAAAAGGGAGCCAGTATACACTAGAGGCCTGTTGCAGGAAGATTCCTGCAAGAATAGGGCTTCCTATGGCTGTCCTTCCTCTCACACACGCACACACACTGAGTAGCAGGATTATTATGCATTCAGAGATCATAGTAATTTGGCCACTCAGTGTAAATAGATGGTTCAAGCTATACTGTACTCCGTATAGTATTTTAGAGTAGGAGGGGAGACAAGTAAACTTAAAGTTGCTTCCAAATAGTATTTGTATTTATTTACTTTGTACAAGGAAAAATAATGAAAAAACACACATAAGCAAAAATACTTTTAAGATCACAGACGGTCCATCCATGTTGTCGCAAAGGGTGAAATTTTCTTCCTTTTGGCCAAATAGTATTTTATTGTGTAAATGTACCATAGCTGTTTCATACATTGCTCAAGCTGATGGACATTGGGCTGCTTCCAAATCTTGGCTATTACAAATAACACTTCTGTGAACATAGAGGTGCTTATATTTTTTTCAAATTAGTGTTTTGGGCTTTTTCAGATGAATTCCCAAAAGTGGAATTGTGGGTTATAAGGCAGTTTCATTTTTTTTGAAACTTTATACTATTTTCCACAGTGTCTGCACCAATCCTCATTCCACCAATAGTGTACAGAGTTCCCTCTTCTCCACATCAGCACTTGTTTATTGATTTATTGATGATAGCCATTCTGACAGGGGTGAGAAGATATCTCATTGTGGTTTAATTTGCATTTTTCTGATGATTAGTGAAGTTGAGCATCTTTTCATAAGTCTATTGGCCATCTGTATATCCTCCTGGAGGGATCTGGAGAGCATTGTGCTAAGTGAAATAGGCAGTCACAGAAAGAGAAGTACCATATGATTTCACACATATGTGGAATTTAATGAACAAACTGAACTAACCAGCAAAATAGAGACAGACTGATAGATGGAGAGCAGGCAGATAGCTCTGGTGTAGGGCTGGTGTTGGGAGAGGTGGAGGAACTGAGCAAAAAAGAAAAAAGAAAAAAGAAAGAACTCACGGACACAAAGAACAGTGCAGTATTGGGAGGGGAGGTGGTGAGTGGAAGTGGAGGAGGTTGTAAGGGCGATAAATGGTGATGGAAAAAGTAAAATAAATAAAAAAAGGTATTTTAACTTTAAAAAGATCATAGCAGTTCTCTCAGAGGGTAGATAATGAGGCAGCTGTGTTGGAAACGCTTCTTAATCTCATTTTAAAAAATACTTTCTTAAATTTATTAGGGTGACATTAGTTAATAAGATTGTGAGGGTTTTCACTGTTTAACTCTATAATACATCATCTGTATATTACATTGTGTGTTCACCTCCCAAAGAGGGTCATCATGTATCTGACCCTCTTTACTCTCTTCTACCTCTCCACCACCCCTCTCCCTTTGGTAACCACCCTACCTTCGTCTCTGAGTTCTTATTATGTGTTATTTACTTACTAGTATTCATTGCTTTCTGTTTTATATCCCACATATGAGTGAAATCATGTGCTTCTTGATGATTGGATAGAGAAGATGTGATACATATATACAATGGAATACAACTCAGCAATAAGGAAAGATAAAATACTGCCATTTGTGACATGGATAGATCTTGAGAATATCATGCTAAGTGAAATAAGTCAGACAGAAAAAGTAAAGTTAGTCTGATTTAAAAAAATATATGTTGTTGATTTTTTTTACAGAGAGGAAGAGAGAAGGATAGAGAGCTAGAAAGATCGATAAGAGAGAAACATCTACCAGCTGCCTTCTGTACACCCCCCACCAGGGATGTGCCTGCAACCAATATACATGCCCTTGACCGGAATCGAACCCGGGACCCTTCAGTCCACAGGACCGATGCTCTATCCACTGAGCCAAACCAGTTTCGGCAATCTGATTTTTATAAGCAGTTAAGAATTAAGTAAGGATGCAGAGGTAGATGAAGCCTGTTAGTGATGACAAATGCATTCAGGCCTTAAGAGTTAGGAAATTTGAAGAAGAGAATATATCAGAATAAAGAAAAAGTACATTTCAGTTAAA